CCATGAGCAAAACACACATGGCAAGGTTAACCCCCATAAGCAACACCCAAGAGGCAAACTTAATCCCCCATGAGCAATGGCAAAAGGAGAAACGGGATGCCAATGATGCTGATGATGCTGGCCAAGGGCCCGTGCCGCTAGGCCTAACGCCCTGGAGTTGCTGCCGCAGGCCATGGCCTTGGCTTTAGCCATGGAGGGGAGGTCAATGCCGCCGACCCTGCATCGTTGGACCTCCGTTTCTCCAAGGGGCCCTCCCGGACCCTGCTCCAAGACTAGGCCGACATTGGCATACGGTTTTGAAGCGAATCCTCCCACTACGGAGGCATTTTTGAAGGATTTTTAAGGGTCCTGAGACCCCCACAGAAAGGCATCATGTGCACGGACTGTTTTGAAAACTAGCCCCCATGGCCTATCTGGGCCCGGGCAGCAATTTTTGGAGGTCGGGGGGTTGCCGGAAGGCTTTGACCACAATGCCGCTACTGCACTATCGGTTGCGCGGGTGCGGAACTGCTTCACGTCTGACTTTGGGGGCGTGATGGTCTGGCCCCGTTTTCTTGCCTGAAACGTAGGGGAACGGAGGGTAGTGGGGGGAAGGTAACCGGCATTTTCCTGGAAAACACATCCCTGGCAGCCATCTGACGCCAGGTTTTTTTGGTCACAGCAGCTGCAGGTTGGGCCTGCCCCGCAAGACATGCCTCAGGCCCTGAGCCCTTGGAGCAGCCAGTTTGCCACGTCGTTAATTTGACCGCGTTGCTGCTACAGCCATAACCGCTCCGCTGGCGGGAAACTGCTTCCCGTCTGACATGACTTCTGCTACGTTTTTCCGTCCCATCTTACCATGACAAAGTCTGACGGCCAAGGCTTCGCATGTGTCTATAGATTCAAGGGCAGAAATAACTATTCCATAATATGATTCAAGGGACCATGATTCTAAGATTCCGGCTGGTAGACTATCTTCATGTTCTGTGTTCCAAGTACTCAGGTACTGTGTTGCTTCAAGGATGTTGGAGGATTTCATTGGGTTTGCGCGGGCTTCTACAATTCGGGTTGGCGGCGTGAGCCGGAGGCTCTTCAAGTCGGGCAACGCCAATTTGTGCTTTCTCCAGCGATGTAGCTAGAGCTTTGCTACAAAGGGGGGTGCGCGCGCCGCTCAATCATAAGACCTCAATTTCTCCAAGGGCCCCCCCGCCTCTACATCCGGCCTGGCTGTCGTGGTCCAGCGCAGCTGCACGCTTAGCTAAAGCTATGTTTTGTTAGTACGGTCTGTCCGCATGGGCCGGCCTGGCCGCCCCCAAAAAATCCCTACCCTAACCCCACGTGATGCACGAGATCATGGGAAGCCCATGCAAAAAGTCATGTTCTCGATGTTTTGCTTTGAACCCTTTAAAAATATTGCTTGTCCATTATTCACCTGATGATGATGCTCGCGCCCGGAGCGCCCTGCACAGGAGCATTATCAGCAGACAATTGGCACACCATTTTGAGCTTAATTGGGAGGCAGGAGGGCACCAAGAAAACCATCCAAAGCGCCTTGAACATGCTTTTATGGGCAGGCTGACCCTGTTTTGGCCCACATGCGGGCCTTATAATGCAACTGAGAAGCAATATCTTGATGCTTTTGACAAGTGGTGTACAACGGTAGCGTGAGAGGCCCCCATTTAGAGGTTTGGCCTGGGTAATGCACGCAATGCCTTGCACATGCTTGTCATGTACTACAGGTGCTACTGTGCCAGTGCTGGTATTTAGAACCACAAATACTGCCTACAGCGCATGTTGATTTTTTTTGCTGGGGTTCACAGCACATGTTTTGGCCTCAGCACCCCCAAGAAGCCAGCATGAGCATCATGGGGCCTGTCTGGGGTACACTTTCTCTCGTGCCAGCATCATCCAGCACCATTGGGCCTTCGTGTCTCATTTCCAGACACAACATACCCCGTGTTTTGGACGGGGGCTGGATCCTCAGGTGTTTAACCTACCTACTATATTTGCCCAGATCCATACAAACAACGATGGCCAATTTGGCAATAAGACCGTAAACCATCAAAAACATCGAAAGCAGCAAGAACATCACATTGACAGAGGATTCTCATGATCTGGGGAATGATCAGGACAATTGATACTTTGTTTTGGGTTTTAGGGGGACCGCCAGGCCGGCCACCGGGCCCGAAATTGACGCTTTGTCGCGAATCAAGGTTGGCTGAATGTTGATGACCCGAATGAGTGTTGTGAATCCCTGCATTTCTACTCCTGAAATTTGGTTGTCCCCTCAAGTTTTCCGAAGCACATTGGTCAATCCTACTTATTATTGATGAGCACTCCCCTCGCCTTGCTTGCAGAAGCTTGATGGCCAATGCATCGGTGCTCACAGCTGAAGCATTCCGCCACATGACCCCAACACGCCAGTCCGTTGCCTTCGGCTCCACAACATTTGCATGTAAAAAGCGTGCGTCAATACGTCAGCATGCACTCCTTGTGTCTGCTTGTGGCCAAGCTACCTCATCGCCCAAAGGCCCGGCGGCACAGGCTTCCCTCGCACAGCTAAACAGCGACAGGCGAGACACCTGCATTGTTTTCACAGAGCACGCGCATCAGCATGCATCAGACACGTCCACAAGAGAACAACCAAAGTGGCCATCCTCAAAAAGACAAACGCAGCTGTTGGTATCAAGCCAGCCTTGAAGTGCGCATAACCGCGGCTCACAAGCAGGGCCAGCAGCTCCAAAAGATCCATGCCCCTTGGATTCTGAATGATCTTCGAGAGAGCTCGTGTCAGCAACAACCGGAGCCTCAGGTCCAAGGAGATGAAGGTTGGGGATCTCCCTGATACCTGCTCATACCCGTAGGTATAGCTTCACATTGCTAGAACCACAAACACACAACAAGACTAGAATAATGCCCAAACAACTGCAAGGCCTGCACCATCTCCTCTATCATCTGCACGACGCACGACACCTTAGGAGAAGACTGCAAAAAGTAATTCATACTTCTGATATTAAATGCACACCTGCGACCAGTCGTGTGAATGCTTTGGCACTGTGGCGGTAAGTTAGCTGCCGTCACGTGAGATGCATGAACCCGCAGCGCCGCAAATGGCCCCCTTGCCATTGGTGACAAGCGCGCACATCCTGATTGCCTTTGCTGCCCAAGTCTGACTTGCAGAAAGGCTGACGGCTGTCGAAGACCTACCCTTTGCTGCGAGTAGCATTGCAGCTGTCTGGCCCATCAGCTCCAACACATCCATTGAGTTCGCGCCGTATACTTTGGCATCAAATGGATGCACAGCACCAAGGTGGAGAACCTTGATCCGCAAGTGCATGCGGATGTGCTTAGGCAAAAAGGTGCAAAAAGATGACTCTACCTCTGAGCTAGGGCCTTAAGCAGCAACACTGGCTTCTGTTGACAGATGCAATGACATTACAGTCTGCTTGACTATGCATTCGGATGGCTGCCCCACCAGGAAGGCTGCCGAAGACGTAGCTGAGAAGAGCTGCAGATACCTCACCGATATGCTTCAAACCGCCTCGCAGCTGCGTTCCGCATCATGCCGCGGGTCCAAAACATGGCCTCGTTGCGCTGAAGGCCATACGCATAAGCAAGCTCTGGAGCAGATCGGCCCAAGATCTGGCAACGGCTATACAGAAAGGAGGCATTTGGGTTGCGCGCCCTCCAAGCCGACCCTACAAAGTCTGTTCTTCAAACTCTGACTGGCCCGGGCACACATCTCCGAAGTTGAATGGTGCAACATACGAAACGCTGAACATGATAAGCAGACTAGCCGTCCCGTCTTACCTTGACAGCTGATTCGGAACTGACAAACTGCCAACATGTGAAGAGTACTCGCGCTAGAATGAAGCTAAAAAAATGGCAGAAAAACCGCTAGCTCCCTACAAGCCGCGGCAGCAGCGCCTGGAAGATCCGATCAGCTTCAGGTGGGGGTCCACCAATAGATCTGTCATCTCTGTCCTGAGAGGCAAGCTCTTCTTGGTACAGACGTTCGGCTCATGAAGTCCGAACAATCATGGGATGCCATGGGCCATGTCTAGTGAATCAGTGTATGCTTTTTGCTGAGGGCATGACTTCCCAGCCAAGACGCATTATTCTGACTAATGCAATCCTCAAGAAAGGCCAGAAAGCGCTCCAAAGGCCATGGCTTGGAGCTGCGCGAGTCCTCACATTCGATTGAGATGGATTCGTCAAGCAACGGATTGAGGGGGTTTCTGTCCTCATAAGGGGCCAGCAACTTCAGCAAGGGGCACTGCTCTTCCACCGCTTCTGTCATTTCCTGGTGAATGATGCGGTGCATGTGAGGTGCGTGACCAGGGCGCGCAGCACCTGGACACCTTGAGGGCTGAAAACGTCTCGCGATATCATGCGGTGTTGACAGGGATTCCCACGCCCGCATGAAGCTTCTTGAGTCGCCGGCCAGGCAAGTGCTTCCAGGCAAGGGCGCAGCAAGGAAGCACGGCAGCGCGTGCCAGCAGCACGCAGCGCAGCGAAGTGCAAAAAGCAGCAAAGCTCTACAGCAAGCAGCCTTGACATTGCAGAGCTCCATGTGCGGCAATTTCACAAGTGATGCTACGTTTGCTCTGTACTTTCGGCGCTTTGACTGGGTAAGAGTCAAAGAATCTAGAACTACACTACACTACAACTTGGGTTTGAATTTGCTGTCCCATGTCCACAGTATGTCATTCCTGAAGAGAGAAATTCTGCCAGAAGAATCCAGAAGATGAAGATCTCCAGCGCTCTGCGATGCAGGACTTTGCGTCTGCGTGCGTAGACAGTGACAAGCCATAATGTGCGAGTCAATGACTATCTTTTTTTTTCGTGAAGGCAGCTGGAACCACTTGGCGGCGCCAAGCTGCCTGAACAAGCAAAGGCTGTCAAAGCTCCACGAACACTCTCATGCAAAAAAAAGTCCTGCATCCATGGGTTTGACGTCAGTGCCTTCTGCTACATACCTCGTGGGCTCATGCTTCCGCAACAGGATGCAAAACCCGAGCCTAGTATGCATCTGCCACTACTGCTGACTCGCCAAAACACCGCCGTTGCGCCTGATCCTGAAACAAGGCCATCTGGGAAAATGAAGTCCAGCTGCTGCTGCAGCTGCCGAAATACCTGCTCCTTGAGCTCGGGATCATGCACCTGCAAACAGTAATATTGCAATATTGCAATATTGTAATTTCGTAATATAGTAAATACTGATTGTGTTTGTAATTGTAATTGTGAGCTGGTGCCCAACAACATCCAACAACGGCATGCCCCCAGTTCTCCCATCACACCCATCTCGTTGGTCGCAACTTGCACGACGCTCAACATGATCCGAATCATGAGATACACGTGCTTCTGATTGTGATTGCCATGTGAAAAGCAATCCGAGCCACAAATCCTCGAATATCATCTGCAGTTCATGACTTCAGGGACTGTGAGCTTTGAGACAGGCACATGTAGCCTGTTGTACCCCCAACCCGCTAGGCCAGGGACACCCTGGACTATTTGGCCCTACACTATTGTGAAATGAATTGGAATGATGCAGCTGCTGTAGATGAAATACCTTTCGAGTCTCGAATCACTGCTGAAGGGGCTGGGCTTTCCACATTCCAGGAGGCTGATGAGGGTTGAATACTTCTTCTATGGTCCTGGCTGCCTCTGTTACCATCTTTACCTGAGGCTCCTAAGTGTACCAAAAGCACCTCCTGACGCAGCGACCTGCGCAGCTTCTTCTTCAAAGGCCTTCAAAGGCAGCTCCAAAGCTTTGAATTCAGTGCCACTTTCAGCATCTCCTTTGCCTGGTCTCCAGCGGGTACAAGGCATTGGCACGTACCACCCTTGCCTGCACAGTCATTTGCGCAGTTCTTCACAACGTTTGCTCAAGCAGTGCTTTTGATGGGTCATCAATTGACTTGCAACAGGCTGCCTGAAGCTTGCTGTTGAAAAGATCCGGATCCTCCCTGTAAGGCAAGATCCAAGCATGCACCGCTGTCGAGCGAAGCAGAACCAGCCTGAGATTCATTGGGCTTCTGTAGCTCATACATTTAATATATTTTGATGGGAACAATCCAGAGTTTGAATCGGGCAACGACGAAAATTGATTGATGTCTACTAGCTGAGTGCTGCTTCCCACTTCATTGCTTTTCTGGCGCTTTTGTCTTCGTGACATGTTGAAGGGGATGGGCTCAGACTGCAGGTGAGCCACGAATGCTACCCTCAGTTGCTAGTCCTTGAACGAAGGCTTTCCGGGCACTTGCAAACAACCCCTTGGCAATTAGCAAAACCCAAGGAACCCTAAATCCGAAAGTTTTGAATTCTGTTTTTAGCGAGTGTTTGAGCGGAAGATACAAGTTCACACGTTCACGCTCACAAGACGTCAATAAAAAGTCCCTTGCCACAGTTGCCTTGTAACAATACGTGTTTTAAATGGCTTCAGACGCCCACTGCATTGCCATTGCCACGCAAGCTGCTAGCATTCAGTCAAGGGTCCACCACCCATCTTCCCGCAGCTGCTGCACGCGCAGCCGAGGTGCTGCCCGGAGTTGTGAAGTGGGCCACACAGAGCCAGAAGAAGCCTCGAGAACAAAGTCCCGCTGCGAGAGTACCTGGCAGGAGATTTCTGCAAACAAGAACGATGGCTGCTGATTCTGCTGGGGGCACCAGGATGCCCAGACGAAAGAACGGAAGACCCCAATCCAGGTCGTAGCATCCTGACATACGTGGCTGAAGAGATCTGAAGAAGATCAGATTACCAGAGGAACGGCCTGCAGGCCATCGGAATTCGAAGCCGCCACTGCCACGCACTGTCTCAGCTGCAAGGGCGCCGTGTGGGTGCGGCGCTGTCAGCAGCAACGGCGCCAAATTCAAGGCCTCAGAGAGGCGACTGACAGTAACCTTCATCAGCACGTCAAACTGCAACAGACAAAGAGTCCCCTGCCAAGTACAAGTCACAACCAAAAAATGCTCCGCGTGAGCGCCACTCTGACAGTCTGTTTGCTGCAAAGCATCTGCTAAGACAGAGCCAACCAGCTGCTTGGCATTGGAGACACCCTCCGTTTCCTTCCAAAATTTCAAGGGAACCCACATGCTCGCATGCTGCTGATGCTGTCTAGGATGTCTGGAAGACCGGCCTTCTTCCTCCGAGCCAACTCCCAGCGTATGGCAAGCTCATCCAGCAGCGAGCGGCCTGCTTGCACTGTGGCCAGAGATTGGAGGCAGCTGTGACATTCAAAGGTCCGCTCAAATAGCAACATCAGCGATAAACCTCATGAAATCCGGAAAGCCACGTCAAATGCAACAGCGGTAGATCCGTCCATTGCCCCATCAATCAAAAGGTGAGCTGCACAGCTATCACACGGTAGATGGATCTCGTCTCGTCAGCGTTGCCAGTTTGCTGCTATCTGGAATTTGTTTCATTTGGCACTCGCGCCTGCGTGACCACCACCGTCATGACCACCACCATCATGTATGTCGGAAGCTGTCTGGTCAATCGCGGACACATGTCCAGAAAGCAGCTCCTCGAGGCCAGGTATGCTAGTAGTGCGGCACGCATTGGCACACAAGACGCAGACTCGGCTCTCCTCGTCTGCAGCCTCACTAATCAGCATCTTCCGCTCATCTGGACTGCAACGCAACTCCGGCTCCAACGCTCTTGGAAGATGCATTTTCTGCACGCCTGTCTGACAGCATGAACAGCTCCTTTGGGCTTCGTAGAGGTTGCCCGACGTCCAGAAGCACCTTGCGCTTGCAGCTGCAAAGTCTCTGTATGGAAGCCGCACTTTGATTCGCATCAAGGAAACTGCACCTGCTCTGCCACAGGAGAGTGGCTGCCTTGAAGAGCCTGCATATGCCTCGCGCCACAAGTACCACGCACAGGCTATGCCTGCAAAGGCATGAGGCACCAATATATATCAATCAACGTGCAGCTGCCAGCACCACTGATGTGGACGTAAACGCGTACTAATTCACCACTCCACTCGCTTCCCGTCATAAAGGCAGGAGCCCCGGAAATCTGCCAAGCTCAAACAAGTGTCTTTGTTACTGAGCGAGTGCTGGCCACAGTCTCACTGATGCATGCGGTTCTACGAGTTGCTTCAGGATCTTTGTTTATGACCTTGACACGTCATGGTTTCGGCATCACTTAGCCAGCCTTTTTCTGGGCCACTAGCCAAGTCGGATCCCGCACCGCTGCGGGTCACTTAGCAAATATTTTTGCGCGTCACTTGGCCAAGTCAAGGTCAGGATTCTGTGACAGCCTGAAGTTTCTTGGGCCTAAGGTTTAGAGGTTTTGGATTTTTGCTAGGGCCGTGCGCTCGCTTTTCTGTTCGGGCGCGCGCGCTTTGGCGCCATCTCAGGGGTGCTCCGCAGGATCCTATAAAGTTTCACGTACCTATCGTTATGGCCTATACCTGCGGTGTGGTCAGACAAACCTGGTTGGTATCTTTTGAATGTGGTTTCTACCCAATATGGAAACTGCATTCCACGTCTCCTACCTTGAGTGTATATTCTATCTTTGAAGCCCGTGCAGAAAACAACGTTGTGTATTGGGTTGTCCATATTGGAGCAGTATACTTCCCGCATCATCTTGTATTGAGTTCTGTATAGGGTTTCGGAGGGGCGGCGTGGTCTGGAGGCCTGTTCCCATACTTCCACGTTACTGATTCTGGAGTAGTACGAGGCTTTTATGCCTATGGCCCTACGTAGAAACCTATAAAATTGTCCATCTAGGCGCTTGAGGTCTTTCGCAG